ATCCGTTGGGGAATAGGGGTGTCATGTTTTCTGATATTGTATCGATTCTTAAAACTACTGTATTAATTTTTATGTTTAAACCCCAAACTGAGTGAAATGTGGTTGCTTAAAAAAATGTTAACTTTTTTAATACAATTTTATGCATGTGGTGGTGTGTTCTTGATACTATGATAGTTTTCCTAAAATTATATATATTTTTAAAAATTGCCTGTATTGTGACGTATGTTGCCAGAATCTTGACAATACACAGCCTTATTGGAGAACTTGAAATTCTTTTGAAATTCTTCCCAAAGAACCTGTGTGTAGTGATAGATACTATAACTCTCATGCGTGCTGTGTATATATGCCTGTATTTCCTACAGAATAGAGTTGTTATATTGATATTGACAGATATCAGCCATCGGCAGCCCTGCTCTCTAAATATCAGCATTGGCCATTGGAAAACCCATAATGGTTGACCACTAACTTACATGATGTAGTTCAGTTTTGAATTATGCAATACCAAGTGGATGTGAGATCTGATTTTCTGCTGTTGCCAGGTGGTACATGGAGAGATTGTCGAGTAGCTCAACTAATTTAATACATCCACATGTTGAGTATAATAATTAGTTTAGGTTTTTAAAGGTTTCTTTAGAAAAGAGTGACTGAGAGTTAATTAAGAGTGCATGAAAAGTAGTTCAGAGGATATGGTTCGGGAGGCAGACACCCTCACCACATTCAAGAGTAGGCTTAAGACATTACAAAAGTAATGGATAAATGTTGGAACGTCCAGCTTTTGCCACTCCATGGTGGTTGTAGTACAAATGCAAACTTGACCAAGCTGACCTAAACATTAATAGTTAAACTGCATGGAAATATTATATGATGATGTTTGCAACATAAGTGATGGTGTTGATGGAGGGGAACATAGGTTTCGTTTGTAAGCGAACTGTCAGAAAAACATGCCGGGATTGATCAAAGGAATTGATAAGCTCGGAAGCGAGTTAAGGTATGGGACAATTTGGGTTCTCAACTGGAACAGGTTCTCGATTCCCATCCCTAATGACAAGGACATTTTGAGAAAACCGTAACCTTGGAAGATGCCCTTCTTTTAACTCGCTGCTGGCTGCTTAAGGGATTAGTTTAAGCTAAACTTGAAGATTTCATTTTTGCACGGAATGCAGAGGTCAGGTGGCAAAAGCCTCAACCTCCCAGACACATTGCATACAAATAGTGAGCCTGTTGTCATCCCAGCCTGTCCATTTCACTTACTGTGGACACAATGCAGGAAACAGCCAGTTGCCAGGAGATTAAGCCAATCCCAAATGCTGAGAAAACACATTCCAGTAAAATAGAAGCAGTGTAAAGCCTGTTTTTACAGTCAGCCAGCAGATTCCAGGAATCAGTCTTAAATCACAACTGTCATTTACGGCAATTCAGACAGAAAGTGACAGTGACTGCTTTCTGATTGAGTCTAGACCCACTGGTTGTTTTTCAACCAAATGCCTTCTTCTCCCGTACTTCTTAATACTGACTTGTTCTCATATCAGTGTCTTTTTTCTGCTTCAGCCTGGCTAATTCACACTGAATGAAAAGTAAATCAGCCAGTTGGCAGGTCCATGTTCCAGGCTGCTCAGATGAGACAACTTTTCACAGAATACCCTCCCTTCTCCACTTGCATAAACTCTGTTGAAGCTTGCCCCACTGCCTACAGAGACATATTCTCACATCTCAATAGTTTTACATTTCTAGCTGTGCCCCTTTTAGACCTGATGATTCTTGTTTTAAATATACACACTCTGGAACGGCATTTAACTGGAACATGGCTGAAAGCATCGATCAGCAACTTTTATGGGCTAGACAGAATGAGGTTTAAATCAACAAATGTCATGATGTGTTATGATAACTGCTGCATAATGTGGTCTACACCACACTGGAACAGGGCTGACAGTAGAAAAGTTCAGGTCAGACTAGTGACTTCTCATATTACTAAATATATCCTGCTAACTCATTCTTTTTCCTTCCTTTTCTCATTTGTGCCCTTTCTATTTGCAAGAATGAAGTATCAACCTAAACTTCTCTGTTGTTATGCCATCATGATATTACTGGGTTATTTTGGTTTGGGTGCACACAGTCCCATGGAATTCAACTGCCAAATTAGGCCAAATTGAAAAGTCAAGGCAAGAGTCCTTTCCACCTACAGTATCAAAGTTTGTCCCCTTTCTAAAACTGTAAAGAATTACAAACCAACCACACCTACTAATGAGAAATATACAAGCTACAGTTCAGGAGTGTCAGAGCACCACCGACCCTGATAACAGCTGCCTACACGTCACCGCAGTGACTCAACAAATGGAGCTTTACTGTCTCACTGTTAAAGCGCTGAGCAGCTGAAGAGACAGATATTATATCATGCTGTATAAAAGCAGTGGTCCCAGACTTTTTCCTTAAAGGTCCAGTGTGTAACATATTAGTCAAACGATTAATCGCATTAATGTCATAGTTAACTCGCAATTAATCGCACATCTTTATCTATTCTAAATGTCCCTTGATTTCTTTTTGTCCCATTATTTTTTTCTCATTTTAATGCTCTTATCAACATGGAAAAGTGGATCGGCTTGCTTTGTGCAAATGTTGTTTTTATGAAAACAACATTGTTTTTATGAAAACAACATTGGCATATACTGTAGTGTTCAATTTCACACTAACATTCTCACTTGGAGCAAATGATCTCTCACGCAATGTAACACTGTCCATCAATAAAAGGGTGATAAAGAGTTCGGTCTAGACCTGCTCTATTTGAAAAGTGTCCTGAGATAACTTCTGTTATGAATTGGCGCTATACAAATAAAATTGAATTGAATTGAAAAAAATACTTTGTCATACAAACAGCCCCTTCAACAGCCCTTTCTAAGGGATCAAAACAGGGTGATACAAAATAAAATTACCAAGTGCACATGTAAGGTAAACTAGGACTCAGCCTATAGTGCAGTTAAACCATGGCTCAATACTTTTCTCAAGTTTGCTTTGAACATAGCAGTCAGACTACTGCTCTTTATTCACCAGAGGCTCAACCCAGCCTCTTATTTCAGAAAGAATGAACAGTAAGGGTTACCAATAAAATATAGTAATATATAAGTAATGTCTACTACTCTTAAACAAGTGTGTGCGGCGTGCCTGTTGTTTTGTTTCCGGTCTAGCTAGATCCGGTGTGGTGTTGTAGTTTTTCTAACGTTACTAGTTGTTGCAACAGCATGTGAAAAAAACTACAAAGTGTGCTAGGCGTAGAAAAATTGATGCCGTTAAAATGGGTTTGCGTTAACCCCGTTAATAACGCGTTTAACTGACAGCACTACTTAGAATGAGACATTTTTATCTACAGATGCCATGGGTCACCTTCCATGGAGTCTCATTCCCAGGTTGTCATATAAAGACGGTGGGAATGAGACTGAACAATCAACTATCTTCAAGCCACGAACCCAAAGCATCTTTCTATCTTTCTTGGCTCTGATTAATTGTTGTTGTTTCATTCAGCCTCAGCAGACTCTTGTAAATGCCAAGATTCCCTCACAGATTGTCTGTCTTGTGTACTACTGTCAGGATATAGTGAAAGTTTCAGCAAATATGACAAAATGTTTTATAGAAGTTACTTACTGCAGCTTTAAGAGTCACGACCCCCCGGGATAATCAGGTTGGTGACCACAACCCTGCCTCTCCATGTGTAATATTTTCAGAGATGGTGTAACCACAACATCCCTGGTTCTATTCTTGTCACATGTCCTACTCCCTCTCTGTCCCCATGTTTCCTGGCTTAATCTGTACGGTCACAATCCAATGAGTGCAAAATGCCCCAAAAATTACCTTAAGAGAGAAAGTTGCATGTGTTACGTAAGCATAGTTTTTGGTCTCATTTATTGGTTGTCTTAGAGCGGCAGTTTCCTGCTGTCCCAGCTGACAACCCTGCTTCAACTGCCAGCGCTGCTTTCTGCAGATGTTACATTGATATCAGCAGATTATGTCAGCAGATTGTGTCAATTGTGGTTGTCTGCCAGAAGCTGTCATACATTCTCTGTTTATCCAGTTTGAAGCCACATTTTTACCATCCACTGTTTAGATCTTGGTGCTTTTTAACTCTAGATTTGAACCGGATGAAGGATTTTAGTCATCGGACGTCTGGATCTTAAGTTATCAGAGAAACAAGCTGAGCTAACGTTAGCAGCAGCTCGGCTCGCAGCCCCTTTTGGGACGTTCCACAGTATCTTGTAGGTCCTCATGAATGTACAATACACTATTTGCAAACTCATTGTGCTGCTCATTGTGTCAAACAAAGTGTATTAGATAGAAAACCTACCAATTTACAAGCCTTGTCGTGTGGATGTTGTGGAACCTGGTTAGCGCTTTGTGACTTTTGGGAAGGTAGTGAAGAAGTTGGTGTCGAGCCCTGTACTATAACTCTCATGCGGCCTGCTGTAAACATATGCCTGAATTTCCTATAGAACACAATAAAATGTTTTGTTTTGATTTCTGCATTATATATCAGCCAGCAGGTAGAAAAAACGATATCGGTTGACCACTGCTGAGAATGGACTTTACAGTGAAGTAGGAGACATCTTGTGTCCAGCAGCCACCCTTTTTGGTCAAAAGCACTGGTTTAAAAGTTGGACAATATAACAGAAACACCTTATAATACCTTATAACTACTTTGTCTTGCCTCTTGTAATGCTTTGTTTTTGTCAAGACCTGGTTCAGCTCAAATTATGATCGTTGAAGCTTGTTAAAGCAGACATAGATGTCAGACATGGTGAAACTCTGCCTGTACCTGATGCTGATGCTGTTTTTGACTGTCTGATGCATCAGCAGTAGGACAGTGTAGAAGACCTTCATCATCAAAGACAAAGAAGAGAAGTACAAAAACTGGAACAGGAATAATCAGACAAACACACTCATGGTAATTAACTGTATATCCTTTGTCTTGTCCTGAAAGCAGCCACTGACAGAGACGTCCTCTTTGTCCCCTGCAGGCTGCAGCAGGGAAACTCTCAGTGGACAGGTTGCTGCAGATGTCCAGCTCTGAGCTGCAGGACACGATGAGACGCTTGGGCTCCAACTCAGAGGATCGTTCTCGCCTCACTGCCGCCCTCTCCTGTCTGAAGAGCGCCAATGAAACAGGTGAACCGGGAACACCAGCTGTCCTGCATATTGTGAAGGGTTGAATTATCCATTCTGTTTAATCGTAATATTAATCGTTATGTGATATATTTAACAGCCATATTTTAAGTTTTATATATTCCATGTTCCAAGTTGCAATACACCTTTTTAAATACTGCTACAAGTAAATGTCTTGCATTATTGAATGATTTAGTTAAGTAAATAATAAATGTTATTATATTTTATTATTAAGGGTGTAAGAAAATATTGAAAAATAGATATTAGATATTAACAGGGACTGTGATAATTACAAATCCAGATCCCACTGGTCTGATGGCATAACAAACTAGGGTGGCGTGTTGTTTGTCAATTTTCCTAAAATTTGAGTATTATTATTATCATTATTATTATTATTATTATTATTATTATTATTGATGTAGTTACATGTAAGATACATTTTAATATTGTGGCTGGCACAAGTACCTAATAAATGTAGTGGAGTAAAAAGTACAATATTTCTCTCTCAAATGTAGTGGCGTAAGTGTAAAGTAGGAAGATTAAAACACTCAAGTACAAGTAACAATTGTTAGTAAGAATTGTTCTGTAATAAATGTACTTTTTACTACTGAGTAAACTCCTGAAGTGTGATGAATGATTGGGTTGAAACTTCTGGGAAAAAAACTAGTAAGTGGGTTGTTTTTGTTTTGTTTTGTTTTTTTGTTGTTTCAAGGGTCAAGAATAACATTTCATGCTTAACCTTTTTATTATTTTATTATTGTGATCACAACACTTCCTAAATAAAGTTGTGTTAAATCAAATTATCACAAACCAGCTGACACGGAACCTGGGGGGCAGGTAGCATATGGTGGGCTTAACAGAGACCTGGGTATGTGGACAAATACAATCAAAGGTCTCTTTTATTGCAAAGTACCAGTGTGGATACTCATTTGTGATCTCTACTCTTTGACCCAAGGAGGTGACCCAAGGCCTGACTTAGGCTCCTGCAGCTCCGAGCCCCAACAAGACAGCAATACCTTCTCTCCCATCAGCCCCCTCTCCAGCCCTCCCACTCCTCTGCAGGCTACCAGTGCTCATGGCCGCTCCATCTCCATATCAGTGGTGCCTTGTTCAAACGACCAGAGACCTTACGTTTCAGCTGAGGAAATGGCCGATGCATTCGCCCTGGAGCAGAGCTCCCCCCCGGCCAGCCGAGCCTTGAAGACGCACAACGCCAAGCCCTCCCACACGCCACCGCCGCCTTCCCGCAAACTGCTGCAGCTCCTCCCCAACATGACGAGAAGCAAGAGTCATGAGTCACAACTGGCCAACCGCATCGAGGAGGCTACGTCAAACAAGTGGGTTTTTAAGTGAATACAGCACTCAGTGTCTTAATGGTGAGGATAGAAGATTGTTCTCTTTTTCACTTTGTAGAAGATAGATTTTCTGTAAAATCCCCTAATTAGTATAAAAGTTTGGATTTCAACTCATGGCCTATTCTGTAGTCCCACCATCAGGACAAATGTTAGCCCCACAACTGGTAAAAGTTTGAAGTTTGAAGTTTATTAATTAACGTGAGGACTTAAGTCCATTATGTAAATGTGCCAGATTTAGCCATACAGGCTAATTTCTATCTGCAGTCCCTGGCAGATTGATGGCAAATCTGAAAGCACACATAAGCACAGACAATAGTAACACAAAGGCAATACTGATGTCTAACTATAGGCTATAGTTTACCTGCTACCAATGACAGCGCAGTTCTTTTTTCAGCATTTAGCACTGTGCAGCTGAATTGTCACAGTATCACAGGATGAAGTGGGCTGCTGTGTGTGGGAACTTGCAGCAGCTTTTAGCCACTGTCTGTCCTTGCAGGGCCTGCAAAAAGAACAAAGCATTGGCTGCTATTCATATCAACGGTGGTGGGAACCCTCCCGAGGACTCAGCACTGCGTTCCCCGCTGCTGTCTGCCCGAACACCAGGTCCTGTCCCAGCCTCAGCCCCATACATGATGCCTGCCAACCCCACGCTGCTGGACAGTGAGTTCCCAAACCAGATACAGGCCTGGATTTCTGCTCCAGTTGTCCCTCAGTGCTTCTGTTATTCTGTTTTCATCCATTGTCTCTTTTTGTGTTTTTCACAGATGTGACCATGCACAGGAGCTCCCCTCAGACACTGAGGAGAGATATCGGCCTGGCAGTGACACACAGGTCAGTTACCACCACCCCTCATCAACCTCCTACATAAGATATTTCTATACATTATGCTGTGGACACTGTGGTTGATGTGTCACATTATTTTGTGTGGGCCGTGTGTAAAGGGTTACAATTGAATTGACGCAGTGCTCCCACATTTTTTTCCTTTTCGTTTAACACTGAGACACTGTGACCTTCACACAACGTGTCATTAAGAAAACTACAATATTTGCCAGAGCTGCAGGACTGCAACACTGTCCAACTGGTTGTTAGATTCAGTGTGGAGAGTTAAACCTGCTTGATTGATTATTATCACTATTTAACCCATTCAGAACCCATGTGTTCCAAACACAAACAAATATTGTAATGGTGGATTTCTACTCTAAATGCACTCATAAATCATAGAAATAAGAAATTATCATAATAGTTCATGTAATTTTTTTGCCCATTCCAATGGACGAAGAATCTGAATGAGAGAATTAACCTAATAGTGATAGTACATTAGTTTATTAATTTTTCATGAATGGTTAACTTATATCAAAGACAAATGTGATGTTTATATGTCACTTAGCCAGGAGTTGTTCTTTCAGGGAAAACACTGAGAACCACTGATGTAAAGTTTGTTACTTCAGGTGTTTTAGGTGAATTTACTCTCCCTCAGATTTCTGCTCTGGCTTACTTCTAAACTTCAATTCTCAGGCTTATCAATCCAAATAACAGATCAGAAAATGGTGTCATTATAATTAAGAAATGTTCTTCTCTTTCGTTCGCTGTCCTTTTGCAGGTTTTCAACCAAGTCCTGGCTCTCCCAGACGTGCCAAGTGTGTCGCAAGAGCATGATGTTTGGTGTCAAGTGCAAACACTGCAAGTAAGAGAATGTGAATACAACCTCCTTGTTTGATTACACTTGATATCATTAGGGTTCCTCACATCCATCTGTTCACAGGTTAAAGTGCCACAACAAGTGTACCAAAGATGCTCCCTCATGTCGGATATCATTTCTCACGTGTAAGTTCTTTTTGTTTTCATTTTCCTATCAAGTTGAACTGTCAGGGAAATACGTTCCGTATGTCATCATTTTGGTCCAACTGAAAGAATTTCCACTGACAGAGAATTGACTGACAGACATTTGGGTTGATCACAGTGTGAGTGACATTTAAAAAATGGAATTTCAAGCATATGTGGTTAACATATATTTAATGGATATTTCATATTATATACTTGATAAACTGTACAATGAACCCAACAGTGAACTCAGTAACTGCAGGAAATTTGTGTAAAATTAGTAATTTTGGATACATTTTGTGCAGATTATTTCCTGTGAATATTAATCAGAGATGAGTTTTAGGAACTTTACTTAACTTTTTTTTTATTGTTGGAGCTAATACCAGCTCAGAGCAGACAGTGTGCTTTTGGTGATTTGCAGTGAAAGAAATTGCGTAATTATACAACAAACAATCTGTGGCTGTTCTATAAACAGTTTTCTAATAAATATAGCAACTTCTGATCAACCCATATCAATTTAAGGCTTAAATGAACTACTTCCAGTTGGTCCCAAACCACTTCAGGTTTAAGCACCACCCATGTCTCTTTAAGCCCCGCCCATTCCGAGTACAGTTACGAATACAGATACTTAAGTTGGTTGAACAAACACAGATAATGGTGTACTCGCTCAATCCCTAATGAAAAAACTTGTGATTGTCTGTTTTGAATTATTACCTTTATTTCAGCTGCATTTCAGTGAAAATACCAGTATTTTCAAATGTGGTTAAAAAGTAAAATCCTTCAGATTCCTCACTGTAAGATGCCACCGCAGTTATGGCTCAGTGAGGGAGGTGAGTTTGTATGCAACCTGGGCTCTTGCTCTGGACACTGTGTGGACACTAGGTGGTGCTGGAGGTTTAAATTTTAAATCAAAAGCAAGAAATGCCATCACCTGGCCATGTTAATGCAGACAGGTAAACCAAGATAGTTTCATTATGAGTTACTTTTATCCTTGTATTTGTCTTAAAGCACAGGTTGACATTTTTTTTTACACCTGTCTTAAAACAATGGAGGTGTGTTTGTGGTTTTTATCATGGCATTCAGATGAAACTACCTATTGTGGAAGAAATCATTGTTTGAAGAAACTATTCACTCAGGTTCCAGACTGAAGAAAGTAATCTTTACTTACACTTCAGAAGAATACAGATGGTTATGATGAGCACTCGTGCAGCATGGAGAGAAACACACCTACAGATTGTATCAGTACTTCTCCAACTTCTATCCTGAAGACAGTCTGTCTGAGTGGATTTACAGAGGTTAAAGACACTTCTGGGCTCTCTCACAATAGAACAAAAGGTTTCACTCACAGGGACAATCAATGTAAAATAGTTTGTCTCATTACAGAGCTCACTGTCTGACTAAATCAGAAATCAGGAAAGACAATATCAGGATAAGATCACAATAAAACTGTTTAGATAACACATTGTTTGGTGAAAGTGTGCCAATGGTTGAAAAAAGATGGAACATGGATGTACATGGTGGAAGTTCAGGCAGAACCAGATGTGTAATTTCAATTTGAGCAGAAGATTCAGTTAAAAGAAAACTGGATAATTTATATATAGATATATATTTTCTACCCCTCCACCCATTTAGATGGCAAGGTTTTACCTGCAAGACTCCCATTTTGATGCCTCTGTGCATCATCTTTGATGTATAAACACAATCAGAGAAATATAAATCATATTTGAGTAAGTACTAACCGGTTCAGATAATGGACTTTACTTAACTTTTATTTTAATAAACAAACTTATTCTGTAGACAGTTCTCTAACTCTTGTGATGAAAAACATTACACTGAAGCTCAATTCTGAGGCTGTTCTGTAAATAGTTTTCTAATAAATGTAGCAACTTCTGATCAACCTATATCAATTTCATGTAGGACTGCACAATTAATGGAAATATTATGGAACTTGCAATATGGCAATATTAATATAAGTGCTATATCCAACTTGAAGAAGCTGCCATTGTTTGATAAAGGTAATATGTGTGACATTCAAACAGCATTGTAGTAAAGTTCTGTAGTGTTGTCAGAAATCTTGTTGTCCAGATGTAAGAAAACATGTTTGGTTAGTACAGACCCAAAAAAATTAATCATTATAATTCGATTTATAAGTCATTTCAGTGAAAATTTAATTTGTGATGCAAAAATGATCATTCCCACAAGTTGTGAGTAATATTGCGATATCTGACAATAATCGCAATATGATGTTTTTTCTATTGTGCAGACCTAATTCCAGGCTTAAATGGAAAAACATCTGGTTACTCCATACTTCCAGTTTAAGCCCCACACATTCCAAGTACATATGCAAATACAGATGATATAGTTGGTCCAACAGATACAGATAATGGTCTACTCACTCACCCCTAACAGAAAGTATTTGTGCTGGTCATACTTCAGCTCTTTGTAGCCTCATATTTGGTTTATATACACTTTAGAATGCATCACTCACATTGGAAGCAAGTCAGAAAGGTATCTTTTAATGTCTGGTATGAACAGGAGGAATGATACAAGCAAAAGCTGTTTCAGCCTACAAACAGGAAACCTGCCTAGTGTTTTAAGACATATTTGAAAACCATGTCCTTCAATATTCAGTGTGATGTAAAAATGATGTAATCTGACTTGTAGTGCCAAGGATGCGCAGGGCAGAATCAGTGCCGTCGGATATCAATAACCGGATTGATCACACAGCAGAGATCCCACTGCAGTTCGGCACTTTACCAAAGGCAATAACCAAAAGGGTAAGTACTGGTTTCTTTATTCTTGAGATAAAGATTAGAAATGGAGTGTACAGGAAATAAATGGTGTTAATGCAATTAATGCAATTAAGTGTGTGTGTGTGTGTGTGTGTGTGTGTGTGTGTGTGTGTGTGTGTGTGTGTGTGTGTGGAGCCTCCCCCCAGTTTAAACCAGATGGACTCCAGCAGTAATCCGTCATCAGCCACCTCATCCACACCTTCCTCCCCAGCACATTTCCAGCAGAGTAACCCCCCAAGTGTCAGCGCCACCCCCCCACCCAACCCATCACCGCAGGGCTCCCGGGACAACCGCTTCCACTTCCCAGGTCAACTGATATCTCTCACACACACACACACGTACACAAAGTAAGCACGGTCCGTTCAAGACAGCAGTGTGTCTGAGCTGAGGCAACCAACAGAAGATATGTTGCTGAAACATTGTATTGGGTTGTACTGTGAATATTTACTACTCTCATAAACATGTAAATAAGTTGGTTCAACAGCAGCACAAACTTCACCTTCCAAAACGACCATAAAGCTGCATCGGCAAACATTCTAACCCTCAAAAAAGTAGGATTCATTTTTTACACTGACTTTTATTTACATTTTGGCATGAAAATGGTCAAACTGTTGCGTGTCAGAAATGAACACATTTACATAAAAGTTTTTGAAAACTAGAGGAGGTGCAAGGACTGTTGTGAATGCCTTATGTTCATATTTGGTATCTTTAAAATTTACTATTTCTAGGCAGAAAAACTTAAAAAGATTCAGTGTAATACTTTTATTTTTGACTTACGTTCACCAGGATCAATATTAATTAATCTTAACACCGACTAAAATACATACAATACCAAAAAAGGCATAACTTTTTACCTCTAGAATGGTCTTGGTCTCTATAGCTAATTTCCTTGTTCATGACAGCTGTACGGGGGTGGATTTTTATATAACTCACCTGTTTAAATTATATTAAGGCCTAAAGTTATTTTTTTAAAGCAACTGAAGAAAGATTATGTTGGCAAAGCCATTTTTCACCTGTTATGTCATAAGAGGAAACAATTTCAGACTTAGAAAATGGACCACCAGAAATAATTTTTCTCATTTGCCTTTCAGGGCTTCCATAGATTTCATAATGTAACATGTATTTGTGTAGTATTTTTGAAGAATGGGAGTTACTCTTGTAGTGGTGCAGTGTTTTGAAGTTGTGTTTTCCAACAGATGTTTCCGCTTCCGCTCATGTTCAACATTCTGGCAGCTGCTACGATCCTGGGTAAGAGACAACAACATGGGTACCTCTCATAAAAGTCAGTTGATGAGTTACAAGAAATGTCAGCACAGACATGTTTGAGGTCATTTAGAAACTGTGTCTCCATTACATTGTCTGTCCAGAGCACTGACAAGTTTAATTTTATACATTTATCACGATTCTAAAATACAAATTTAAAGGATCCTTATTATTATCATCATGTTTGTTCATGTTATGTAAAGAAAAACTAATATTGGCCAATATATACTTTATAAATCTTAAATATCAATATCAAGATACCAGTATTGGTCAGCCTTTAATGTATGTAGCATACACGATCCATAGATTTTAATATATAAATAAACTCTCAAACATATATGCGTATCGACCTCAAGAATCCTGTACAGTATTAGTCAATCTAGTCTATATGAGCTTATTAATCCTGTAAGTCATTTTGCTAATTCATGTGGCTTTTCTCCCAGAGTGTCACAGGTGGCCATCACTGAGGCACAGCTGACAGCAGTGGAGCAAGGAGGGGTGAGTACTGTACTCACATATAGTGAGACTGTGTGTCACTGAAAGAAGAAGGGAAAACTGTTTGTCATGGGAAGCTCATTTTCAGTGTCATTTATAGGGTCTGTGTGCTGAAGTGGTTTACAGCACTTGCCACTGTAGTGTTTGTTTTTTTTCTATCTCTGACATATTTATCATCAGGGAAGTTGGAAGTCCCAGGGGTAGTAAACAACTGTACTTCAGACAGCCAGAATGATCTGATTGATCCCCTGTTGCCATGAAATAATGAAATACACTGTATTAAAAGTTATTAAATAAAGACTACAACATACAAATGATGGTAGTGGACTCAATTCTAGTCCACTTGCAAATTAGTCTGGAACCTCTCAGTTAATTTCTGATTTGCAAGGAGCATAAACAACGGGCGGCCTCTGGATGCAATTGGATAGACCTACAACCAATCAGAGCAAGGAAACGTGTGATGTAACAAGTTGGGCGGTTTTGATCCGTTTTCAAGAAGGAAAAAAATGGTGACTTGGTCACAAATTTTCTCAGATGACATTTAAACAGTACACTAAAAACTGTTTCTGAAAACATTTGGATTGAGAAATATGCAATGCAGTAAAAGAATCTTAATTCATATTTTGTTTCGTGGGCCTGTGTGTTTCCCTGGACTGTCCTGCAGACTTGTGTAACTTTTCACATCTGGACCAGTGACGCTCCTCTGCCAATCATCCTGCCCCAAAAGTAAACCCTCCCATGTTAAATAAACAGTTCTGATTGGCCCGACCAGATCCAGGGTGGCTGGAATGCAGTTTTTTGGAAGGGTGGTTAGACACAACTGCCAGAGCAAATGAAACATGAGCTTGACAGATTTGTCTGGTTCCCAGGATCAGATCAGAATTCTGGACTGTAGATCTACAAAGACCCATGAGAGCCCTTACACTGTGCCCTATGAACCCACGTTGCTAAATATGTACCACTGGATGAACTGAATAATGCATTTAGTTTTCTCATGTTCACATTGTTCTCACATGGTCTTCTTTGTAAAGTTCTTTAGTTTCATTTATCAGTAATTAATTAAACATTGGATGTCTGTGCTCACTTATTCTGCCCTTTGTTTCAGGAGGACGAGGCAGAGGAAGACTACCCAGCTGAGGACGAGGAGGCAGCTGACCAGCGCAGCAGAGAAAAGAGCACAGAGGAGTGTGACCAGGATGGGCTGGAAGACCTGCCTCCTTCTTCAATATGTCGTCGGGGGGCCGTTGGCCGCTGGAGGGGCCCCATCTCCCGTATGGCCAGCCAGACCAGCGTGTACCTGCAGGAGTGGGACATTCCGTATGAGCAGCTGCAGCTGGGAGAGCTCATCGGCAAGGTGAGGACAGAGATGTAACACAGTTAGCGAGTATGAGTAAGATTCCACTGAATGTTAGTAAAAAAAAACATAAAAGACACATGTCAGAATCAGAATCAGAATCAGAATTATTGCCAGGTAGGTTTTTACACATACGAGGAATTTGTCTTGGTGCAATGTGACTGTGTGACTGTCCAGGGCCGCTGGGGGAAGGTGCACAAGGGTCGCTGGCACGGCGAGGTGGCCATTCGCCTCCTGGAGATCGACGGCAACAACCAGGATCACTTGAAGCTCTTTAAGAAGGAGGTGATGAACTACAGGCAGACCAGGCACGAGAACGTGGTCCTGTTCATGGGTGCCTGCATGGCTCCGCCCCACCTCGCCATCATCACCAGGTGCAGCTGCATGACTAACAACTGAGATTGAATTCTGCTGTTATCCCCTAATCTGCATTACACAAATGAATGTGTGTGTGATATTTTTGATATTGATTTGTGAATTCAGTTTTAGTAACAGTATAATATGTGTTTTCTCTGCAGTTTCTGTAAAGGTCTGACTCTATACTCTGTTGTAAGAGAAAGAAGCCACATGCTAGACCTCAATAAAACCAGACAGATTGCACAGGAGATTGTCAAGGTAAGGAACCCTAGAGCTGCGTATCTATCGTTTTAATATCAATACACAATGATTTCTGAATATATATGAAAGAAAATATCACATAAACATAATGAACTGATGTTCATTAAAGCCGTATCTATATCATTGTATTACCTATGTTACATTATATGAATGTGGCACAGGAGGTAGAGCGGTTGGCCACTGGTTTGATCCCAGACTTCTTCCGCTGTTTGTTGAAGTGTCCTTGAGTATCATATTATCAATAATTCAACTTTTTTTTTAGTTACTTTAATTTACTTTTTTAATTTTACTTGTTTTTGTATATTAAAAGTATTGATTTGTCTGAGCAATTCGGTAACGCATATGTAAATCATTTTTTGTCAATAATTATATCAGTAATATGATGATGAAGATAAAAGAACATACATAATTGTTAACAGTATGTTAAATCTAAAATATTTAGAGTTAAAATTTCCTGAATTAGTTTTTATTGAATCCATATGATGGCACTGATTCTTTAGTACCCAGATTCAAGGGATCCCTATTAACTTGTTTGTTTGTGTTATGTGTTGATGTTAAAAACCAAATATTGGTCAATAAATAAGAATTCTTTTCAACTTTAAAACATCAATATAAAAAATCTGCTAGTGGTTAATCTATACAGCATACACACATATGATAAGAATTGTATTGTAATGTATTAATGACTTTCTGTAGTCCAGGGTATGATGTATCACTATGTGGTATTGTATCCTGGTATTTATATTTCATCATGACCTGACTTGTTTATTTGAAGAATCCAACTAAATGATTTTAATAAAATTGTCAAACCACTCATCTTCCACTTGTCATAGAAATAACGTGTTCATCAAATCCATTTCTTTTACAGGGAATGGGTTATCTGCACGCCAAAGGCATCATTCACAAGGATCTAAAATCAAAGAACGTGTTCTATGACACAAACAAGGTGGTCATTACAGACTTTGGCCTGTTTGGGATGTCTGGAGTGGTACAAGAAGGCAGGTAGGTAGTGAAATAAACTCTAAAATATGGATCGGGGATCGCTGGGAAGTCACGGCTGTAGTCCTCATTAGTGCTGTGTGTGTGTGTGTGTGTGTGTGTGTGTGTGTTTAGAAGAAAGAACGTGCTGCGGATACCTCAGGGCTGGATCTGCTACCTGGCTCCAGAGATTGTTCAAAAAATGAGCCCAGAGGTTGATGAGGACCAGCTGCCTTTCTCCAAAGCTGCTGACGTTTACGCATTTGGGTAATGATTGATGTTGATTACACTTAAAGAGCTTGCTCAGGTTGATCAACACACACTCAGTGTATGCTTTATTTAAAGTTAAAGCTACAGTATGTAACCTTTTTATAAAAATGTTTTTTTTTTCATATCATATTTTCTTTTCTAAACTTTCACTATATCCTAGACAGTAGTACATGAGACAGATAACTAATCAGATCCAAGAAAGACAGAAATACACTTTGGGTTGTTTTCATTCAGACCCTGTGGATTCTTGCAAATCCCATTAGGAGCACTAAGAGGAGCCAGAGGAACCTGATTGTTTCACACATTATCTGTCTCATGTACTACTGCCAGGATATAGTGAAAGTTTCAGTAAATATGACAAAAGGTTATTTTTTTATAAAAGTTACCTACTGCAGCTTTAAATGTGGCATAGACACTGTAGTTTTTGAGAGATTTTAGATCAGAGTTCCTAAATCTTGACTTTGTTTTTATTTTTCATCTTTTGGAGCTTAGTTATATATAACAGTTATTTCACTCTCAGTTTTCCTTTTAGTCAAATGAAGGTTTGCTGGGGAAAGCTAGCATACAAACAGTGTGTGAGTTCAGCTCATGAGTGCAGACATGTTCTTCAACTTTTAGCCCTTACTGTAAAAACTTTATTTCTTTTTACTTAGACACACTCAGTTGACACATGCAGAGAGGGAATGTAAAAAAAAACTAGCATATGAGGTGGTTTCCCTGTCACCACCGTTTTCCTGATCTTATCTTTGTGTCTTGTCATTTTCAGCACAATCTGGTATGAGCTACAGGTCGGAGACTGGCCAATCACCAACCAGCCTGTGGAAGCTAAAATCTGGCTAGTGGGCAGCAATGAGGGCATTAAGAAGGTGCTGGCAGTTGCCAACCTGGGCAAGGAGGTCACGGTGAGTCTACTATCTCTAGAGGAGACCACTGCCATGTTGCCATTGTTATTGTTGTCTGTTGTCTGACCCAGTCGTTTAGCCATCACAATCTGGCCCTGGTCAAAGTCGCTCAGATCCTCACGCTGCCCATTTTTCCTGCTTCTAACACATCAACTTTGAGGACTGCCTAATATATCCCCCCCCACTGACAGGAGCCATGATAACTTCACAGTTCATGGTGATCACTTCACCAGTCAGTGCTCAGAATGTTATGGCTGATCAGTGTAGATCAGTGGAAACCAGAGCTGAAGCGTCCTGTACCACATATTAATCTTCCTCCTTCCATCCCAACAGGAGATCCTGTCTGCCTGCTGGTCCTCTGAGGCAGACAACAGGCCCACCTTCACCCACATGGCAGACATGCTGGAGAGACTCCCCAAACTGAATCGCAGGCTATCTCACCCCGGACACTTCTGGAAGCCACCTGAGTATGTAACATAGACGGAGAAGGTACATTCATGGTCCAGGGTGAACCAGGCTGTATCATCATTCACACCAACACTCAAAAAGGGAGTCCATATCATTTTATTCAGTCGGCCAAAATCTAAAATTTCATGTCATGTAAGCGGAATGAGATGAGCTGGTCAAGTCAAATGGAAAATATTGTAAATATGATTTTGTAAAGAAATGTGAATATTATGAAGCTTTCCTGCTGAGTATCAACTAATATAAATGACACTGTCTAATGTGACTAATATTTTGTATTTTGAGGAAAGATCTAGTAAGACATTTTATACCGAATATGGTGTTTTAGTTGTTGCTCCCTCTACTCTTCCTTCATCCTTCCCTCCAGTCATTTGAATAGTGTTTCTCACAGTCAGCAGTAATATTTTGTCTCGTGTCTGCTTCTTTCTCTTCTCTCTGTGATTTACTCTCCTCTGGGTGCCAACTGATCCACCTCTGCCTGCTCCTACCGTGCCTGTTCTCCACGGTCTTCTTCGATCCTACACTTTCACCTCCGTCGATGCCTCTGTTTCCCTGTCTCTCCATTGTTTTTCCAACACTCCTGACTTCTGTCTCCTCGCTCCATTCTTCTCCTGGCGAAGGCTGTGGGATCATCATCACTGCCATCAGGGCCTGCATGCACACTGTCCATATATGTACAAATACAGCAGCTGAGGGGCAAAGCTGCTCTTGCTTTATTTTTGATTGATATTGATGTTGACTTTTTATGCAGCATATAACATATCCAGTATATTTTCACCTGGTGTTAACAAGTGATCTGTATCTGGTATCGATTTTTGTTATCTTGATTCTGCCCGCATTCTGATCAGCTCAATAAAATAATAATAATAGCTTTTTGACAAGATGCCTCCTGCGTACAGTTACACCTGAGAGTCTTCTTCTCCAGATAAGTTATCCAGACACAGACTACATGTTCATACCGGGGTGTAAATGGGGTCTAAAACCTGTCTGAATCAGGCTGGTACTCTCTGCAATAGAGAACTGGTCCTTCTGACCTTCTCCTGCCTTCAGGTTGTGCACCAGCCAACTTGCCTTTGAGCTATTTAATTGGAAGTGTGTTGTTGTTTCTATAAATTCAGCCTTTAAAGTCCCACCCCTTTTTGCAGTAAAAAAGGGCATGCCTCCGTCAACTTCCTCTATATATAGTCACAACTTAAGATGTGACTATATATATATTGCTTTTATCTTTTAACCATCTACAAAATGTGGTTGTTTTTTCAACATAGATTAGCCTAGCACATAGCATATCTAAATACAGGAAAGGACAGAGGTTCCAAAAGGGGCGGGACATTGGAATGATCAATTCAAATTTACTTTCTGGGAATGCCCATAATTAAGTTATGTCAATTCGTAAAAGGTTGTAGGGTAATAATTGTAATATATCTGATAGTCAGTCATTCGTCTTACAGCCAGTGTACACAGCATCCATTCTGTCAGTTGCCACAGACAATCCACTGCCATTCTAGCTGGTGTGCATGTGTGTCTCCGTCTCTCGCTCCACTGGGTATAGCGCCGGAGTGATTCATGCATGATCCTTTTCCAGTGGACATTGAATCTGTAACGGAGCTGGATGCTGTCTACATTTCAAAACCAAAACCCTTGCATGCACTGACTATAAGTTTTCTAAAAACAAAAAATAACCCATCCTGGTCTGGCATGAGTCAGCGAAAAATACGTTAATGTCACAATAGCTGCTGTTGAAACTGCCAACTGGCTCCTCCAACTTTCTAACCACTTGCTGTTCTAGCTCTCTGTGAAGACTTTATTACTTTATTTATTAAGTCTTTATTATGTCTATCTGTATGTCAGTGGACAGAGTGCCTGATCACTGTTAATGCATCCTCATAGCTGGAAGGCTGCTGGGTTCAGCTGTTACTAGCCTATGACTCTTCCTAATTATTGTATTGTATTGTATTGTAATTTGGGTGAATTGAAAAGTATGTATGATCAATACTTCATTTTAATTGTATGGCCATGGTATAAGCAATATAATCCACATTTACCCACCTCTTACGACCACTGCCTTTGCTGTGATGTATGTGACATGCTGTCAATTCAGCTGGTCCTAAATGACTGTGTTGGGACAGCTTTTGCTCTGGTTGCTGCAACAAATAGATATAAGTGATAATAGTAATAATCTTATTTCAATGAAATGGTAAACCCCTGAGTGATAACTTCCCATACTCAGATTTAATGAGAGCTTCAGGTGAACTGACTGTTTGTTCAGTGTGTGTGTGTGTGTGTGTGTGTGTGTGTGTGTGTGTGTGTCCTTTCCTCAGGCAGGAGTACAATGTACACTCACTGAATGTGTCTGAATGTAGCACAGTGGAGCCCACTCAATCAATCAACGGCCTTGTGCATATATGTATGTACAGTACTGGCTGCAGGTTGTATTTAATGCACAGTGTTTGTACAAGGGTTTCAGTCTGAGAGCATTTTAATTGGTACTTCTTTCATATTTATGTAAAGATTTTAGACATTGTGTAAACTGTTGTTGGTGGATTGGTATTTTGTTTTGTTGTTTTTTTTCGGGGGGGAAGATGTGTAGAGTATTTTTGTACAGAATGCGTTGATACTTTGTAAGCTTCTTGTCTGAACAATTGAAGATATTAAAGCTTATCTCCAGTGACTCAGTGTGCTCCTTTTGTGGATACGATGTCATCAGTTGTCTTTTTATCCAGTCTGAAGCCACATTGTTACCATCCACTGTTTAGATCTTGGTGCTTTTTAACTCTAGATTTGAACTGGATGAAGGATTTTAGTCATCAGACGTCTGGATCTTAAGTTATCAGAGAATATATATATATATATATATATATATATATATATATATATATATATATATATATATATATATATATATATATATATATATATATATATATTAGATATTATATATGATATTATATTGATTTTTGTGTTTAAACTTCCAGCAGCTAGATAGCAGTGTTGTAAACAGAGGGCTATCATGTAGGATGTTACAGTGCAGGGATTGTGTTACGTGTGTATGTTTTGCCTCTGCTGTCCTGTGCCCTGTTCCAGGTACCGCCCTCCCCTCCGACTGGTCAGGCAAACCTGCAGTGGTTTAGCAATCAGGGCGATTGAATCAAGATATACTGAATCGTATGAACCCTGTATCCTGATACGTGTTGTATTGCCAGATTCTTGCCAAAACAGCCCTACTCTCTAATTCAATTCAGTTTTATTTGTATAGCGCCATTTCATAACAGAAGTTATTATCTCAGGACACTTTTCAAATACAGCAGGTCTAGACCGAACTCTTTATAACATTATTTACAGAGACCCAACAGTACCACCATGAGCAAGACCTTGGAGACAAGGGCAAGGAAAAACTGCCTGTTAAAAGGCAGAAACCTAGGAGAGAGAGAGAGAGAGAGAGAGAGAGAGAGAGAGAGAGAGAGAAAAAAAAGAGAGAGAGAGAGAGAGAGAGAGAGAGAGAGAGAGAGAGAGAGAGAGAGAGAGAACAGAAGGACCGAGACAGTGACAAAGGTGCACAGCAAAAACTACACTAATAGTAGTGACTGATGATGAACATGAAGAAAATGACGACGACAACAGCAACGATGGGGGACAATGAGCAGTGACAATAGTAATAATAGTAACTGTAGTAATAATTATAATAATAATAACAATAATATCAGTGATATTGGCAATGGCAGTCAAGCAGGACCATGGCAGGAGGCTCCACCAGGATCCATGAGAACCTGCGAGACGAGAAAGCACAAGAACTCCGGGGAAGAAGTGAAGTTAGTAACATGCATTAATGGAACATGAATGAGTGCAGAAAGAGAGAGGAAGAGAGGAGCTCAGTGCACCATGGGAAATCCCCCGATAGTCTAGGCCTATAGCAGCATAACTAAGGGATGGTTCAGGACTCACCTGATCCAGCCCTAACTATAAGCTTTATCAAAGAGGAATGTCTTAAGCCTACTCTTGAATGTGGAGAGGGTGTCTGCCTCCCGAACTACAACTGGAAGCTGGTTCCACAGGAGAGGAGCTTGGTAACTGAAGGCTCTGGCTCCTGTTCTACTTTTAGAGACTATAGGAACCACAAGTAGCCCAGCATTCAGAGAACGTAGTGTTCTAGAGGGGTAATAGGGTACTATGAGCTCTTTAAGATATGAAGGGGCCTGACCATGAAGAGCTTTGTAGGTGAGGAGGAGGATTTTAAATTCTATTCTACATTTTATAGGGAGCCAATGCAGAGAAGCTAGTACAGGAGAGATGTGATCTCTTTTTCTAGTTCCTGTCAGTACTCGTGCTGCAGCGTTCTGAATTAATTGGAGAGTTTTAATGGACTTATTGGGGCAACCTGATAATAAAGAGTTGCAGTAATCCAGCCTTGAAGTAACAAATGCATGGATTAGTTTTTCTGCATCTGTCTGTGACAGGATGTGTCTAATTTTTGTAATATTACGTAAATGAAAGAAGGCAGTCCTAGAGGTCTGCTTTATGTGGGAGTTAAATGACAAATTCTGATCAAAGTTGACTCCAAGATTCCTGACAGTGGTGCTAGAGGCCAAGTTAATGCCATCTAGAGTAACTATATCTTTAGATAGTGAGTCTCTAAGGTTTTTGGGGCCAAGAACAAGAATTTCGTTTTTTTCTGAGTTTAACATCAGAAATTTGCAGCTCATCCAGGATTTTATGTCCTTAACACGTTTGTAATTTAGATAATTGATTCATTTCATCGGGCTTGATCGATAGATATAACTGCGTATCATCTGCATAACAGTGAGAGTTAATGGAGTGATTCCTAATAATGTTGCCTAAAGGGAGCATATATAAAGTAAATAGTATTGGTCCAAGTACAGAACCTTGTGGAACTCCATGACTAACTGTAGTATTTATTGAAGATTCATCGTTAACATGTACAAACTGCGAGCGATCTGATAAATATGACTTAAACCAGCTTAGTGCGGTTCCTTTAATGCCAATTTGATGCTCAAGTCTCTGTAAAAGAATATCATGGTCAATGGTGTCAAATGCAGCACTAAGATCTAATAATACAAGTACAGAGACAAGTCCATTGTCAGAAGCAATCAGAAGGTCATTATTAACTTTAACCAGAGCTGTCTCTGTGCTATGATGAACTCTAAATCCTGACTGAAAATCCTCAAATAAACTATTGTTATGTAAAAAGTCACACAACTCTTTGGCGACTACTTTCTCCAGAATCTTAGAGAGGAAGGGGAGGTTAGAGATCGGTCTATAGTTGGCTAAAACCCCTGGGTCAAGAGTGGGCTTTTTAAGAAGGGGTTTAATTACAGCTACTTTAAAGGACTGTGGTACATATCCTGATAACAAAGAAAGATTAATCATATCCAGTAAAGAAGTGCCAATTAAGGGAACAACTTCTTTAAGCAGCCTAGTTGGGATCGGGTCTAATAGACAGGTTGATGGCTTCGATGAAGAAATGACTGAAGTTAACTGATGAAGATTGATAGCAGAAAAACAGTCCAAATATATATCTAAGTTTACATTGGCAGAAGAACTGGCGGGTTTGGTGGTTATACCACGGTGCTAGTCTCCTATGTTTTAATCATTTCCTTTTTATAGGAGCGATAAAGTGTAATGTTGATCGTAGTGAGCCTGTAGCACTATCGACAAGATTATCAATTTCAGAGGGACTAAAGTCGTTATAGGACTCTGTTAAATTCAGACATGGCATTGAATTAAACACTGAAGGAATCTCCTCCTTAAATTTAGCTACAGCACTGTCAGATAGACATCTGCTGTAGGAAGTTTTGCCTAATGGCTTATAATCTAATAGTATGAATTCAAAAGTTACTAAATAATGGTCAGATAGGAAAGGATTATGTGGGAAGACTATTAAATGTTCAATATCAATGCCATATGATAAAACAAGGTCAAGAGTGTGATTAAAACAATGAGTGGGTTTATTTACACTCTGACAGAAGCCAGTTGAGTCTATTAAGGATATAAATGCGTTACTAAGGCTGTCATTGTTAACATCCACATGAATATTAAAATCACCTACAATAATTACTTTATCTGATTTAAGGACTAAACTAGATAAAAACTCTGAGAATTCAGATATAAAATCAGAGTACGGTCCAGGAGCGCGGTACACTATAACAAATAGAACTGGCTGCAATGTTTTCCAGTTTGGGTGAGAAAGACTAAGAACAAGGCTTTCAAATGAATTATAATTTAGTTTAGGTTTAGGGACCATTAAAACGCTCGAATCATATATAGCTGCTACTCCACCTCCTCGGCCAGTGCCTCGAGGAATGTGAGTATTAATATGACGGGGGGGGTGGATTCATTTAGGCTAACATACTCAACCAGGTGGGACAACCAGGTCTCAGTAAGTATTATCAATATCATAATCTGATATTAATTCATTCACTAAAACAGCTTTAGAGGACAGAGACCTGATATTTAACAGTCCACATTTCATTCTCTTATTTTGTGCTACTGAGGAGTTAGTTTTAATTTTTATTAGATTTTTATGTTGAACTCCTCTTGTTTTTATTTCTTTAAATAATTTAGGTGGTCGGGGGACAGACACAGTCTCTATGGGGTTTTGGGTGGGTGACTGTTCTAAAGAATGCGCAGAGAAGTGTGTGAGACAGCAGCTCTGCTTCCTGGTCCGTACTGTGGACTGTCAGGTTTTAGAAATAAAGTTCGCCATATTTCTAGATAAGAGAGCCGCTCCATCCAAAGTGGGATGGATGCCGTCTCTCCTAATCAGACCAGGTTTTCCCCAAAAAGGCTTCCAGTTATCAATGAAGCCCACATCGTTTGCTGGACACCACCTCGACAGCCAGCGGTGGAATGACGACATGCGGCTATACATGTCATCACTGGTCACATTGGGGAGGGGTCCAGAGAAAACTACGGAGTCCGACATTGTCTTAGCATAGTTACACACCGACTCCACATTAATCTTAGTGACCTCCGATTGACGTAAACGGGTGTCATTACCGCCGACGTGGATAACAGTCTTACTATATTTACGTTTACCTTTAGCCAGCAGTTTTAAATAGGATTCAATGTCGCCCGCTCTGGCCCCAGGGATACATTTAACTATGGCCGCTGGCTTCGCTAACTTCACGTTTCTGACTATGGAGCTGCCAATAACCAGAGTTGGTTCCTCAGCGGGTGTGTCGCTGAGTGGGGAAAATGTATTAGAAACATGAATGGGTTGGTGGTGAACTGTGGGCTTTGGCGTTTTAGTCTTCCTTCGCTCAGTCACCCAGCCTCCCTGTCTTCCCGGCTGCTCGGTAACTACCGGGGGACGGCTAACAGAAGCTACCTTTGGTCGGACCGCACCGGCTACTGGGGGCTGGCTAACTATAGCGGCTAAAGATATCTCTGTGGTGCGGTACCGTTCCTCTAACTCACTAAGCCTCGCCTCCAGCGCAGTAAATAAACTACACTTGATACATGTACCATTATCATTAAAGGAGGCAGAGGAATAACTGAACATCTGACACACTGAGCAGGACAGAGGAGAGGGAGAAGCCATAGCTAACTGCTAATGTTACTGAAGCTAGCGTGTATAAAAAACTTTGAAAGTAGTGAAAAGTCGCTAAAAGAAGGAGTAACCCCGAGTGCTTAGGTAGAACTAGTCTACGTTTA